GGACACATGTTGATGGTTTAGAATGTAAGGTTGTGCATAAATACTTGGAACAATTGGATAAAGATGCAATTAGCAAATTTTCTTGCCAATTGGCTACATAATAGTAACAAAAAACACACACACACATATATATAATATGTGTAAAATATACATAAAGAGTATATATAAAATTATATAATATAACTTAATTAATATATATAATAATTAAATATAATATCTATACTATATTATAAAGCATTTGACAAAAACTTTTAAAAATCATTTTTTATGCATGAAGTACTGTTTATTGATGCATATTACTTAAAATTCATGAATACAAGTAAATTGTGCGTATATACAACTTATTAAAGCTTCATGTTTGAATTCGTGTAACTAACTGTAGATAAACATAATCAAATAGATGATAAAACGTCTTATTTTAAATATAAAAAATCTAAAATATAATTATGATAATAATTGATATCTAACAAAATACTTAATTATTATCTTTATAAAAAGTTATATTATCAAACGAAAAATCAAAAAATGAATTAAAGAAATACATAAAAAATGAACTATAACTTGTCCTTCTTTGCCTTGCCTAAATCAAGAAGCGATTTGATTGGTTTGCTTTTAGTTAGCGTAGAAATTAGAATAATAAATTAAAAAACGGGTCCATTAAAAGAAAAAAAAATGCACATTTTGGTCGTCCACTCAAATATCGTTTATTTCATCTTTCACAATCGTTGTCATCAATAATCACCATCATCTGTCGTAGCCAATCGTCATCACCACCACCATAAGCTGCTACGAATCACCTTAATGTCATCATCACCATTCAAATCGACCTATTCTCATCATGATTATTGCCAGACAAAAGCATAAATCACAAAAAGCAAATCGACTCTCCAATAAAACCCTAAAATCTAAAAATTCTAAATATCATAGCTTAAAATTGAGTAGTTAATGGGGAAATGGACATGTGATGGTAACATGTGGGCACGGGAGAGGTGTTGCCAAGAAAAAAAAGGATCTTTATTAGAGACAACAATATGCTTTAAGGGGGTGAGATTATTTATTTGAAACAACTTATGCTTTTAACAAAAACACTTATCAACTTATTATAAGTCAGAAGGGTTTAACTTCTTCAAAAACTTCTTATTACCGGTTTGACACCGGTATAGATTGTTTATCCAAACACTCAAAAGTGTTTATTACCGGTATTACATATGAATAAGTCAATAAGTTATTTTTATAAGCAATCTCAAACACCCCTTAAGAGTTAAATACAAAATAGGTCCTCATAATTTACATAAATTAACGAGTAAGGTCCCTGAAAAAAGGGATATAATTCTTCCTCTAACTCCTTCAGTTAAGTTTTCGTTAGTGAGGGGGCCATTTTGTCTATTCACTATCCTCTTTTCTCAACTTTAATTTTCAATAACATATTTGGTCATTCAAACTACTTTTTATTTTATAACATATTTGGTCTCTCAAACTAATTTTTATTTTTGTAACAGATTTGGTTCCTCGAATTTTTTATTTTTATAACAAATTTGGTCTCTCCCTCAAGTTTCATTTTAGGATTTGGTTCTTCTATTTAACCAATAAAATTTGGTGGCACAAACATATATTTTTAAATATAATTAGTAAAGTAATTAAATAAAGTTTGAAACTTAAATTTTGCTATGAAATATTTATCTTTTCAGAAACATTACTTATATGAAATCATTTAGCTCGAATAAAATATAATTTTGATAAAATTTTGTTTTAGTTAGTTGAAATAAAAAATAAAAAAAGGGTTTTAGCCTTGGGATCCAACGTGATGCATATATTTGACGTTTGTGGTCTACCAAAAATGCAATATAAGGCCCTGTTTGTTTTTAAAAAAAAAAAACACTTAATTGTCTCTTATGTCTGAATCGGTCAGACATTGAGGGATTAAGTGCGTTTTTTTTTTTTAGTGCTTAAAACATCTGAATAGGTCTGATTTATTTAGAGGTAAACTAAAGTCTGAAAACCTCTTAAACGCGTCGCCTTCGCCTACTGCATACGCTCCCTTTCCATCGCGATCACGGGATTGCTCTCGATCTCTCTCTCAAGCTCTACATTGCCTTCGCCTACTGCATACGCGTCGCCTACCCGATCTCTCTCAAGCTCTCCATCGCTGCGCATCGCCTACCGTCGCCTACCTCTCGATCCTTGCGTCGCCTACCGTCTTCTACCTCTCGATCTCTCAATTTAAGGTATCCATCTCGATCTCTCAAGCTCTCGATTTTGTTTCTCCTTGCTTGGTTGATTTCTGTTTTTCCTGGTTCATC